TTCCTCTTGAGCCCCCTCGCGCACCGCGTACTGATGCCGGAGCCGGAAGATGACGTCATCTTCCAGCTCCGGCATCAGTACGGTGCGCGAGGGAGCTGAAGAGGAAGCACACAGAGAGTGCTCCCTCGCGCGCCGGCCGGCTTTCAGGGCCAGCCTCTGGGGGGCCCTGAGGTGACCGGCTGCTGGGCCCCCCAGGAGAAGAGGCTGGCCCTGTGGGTACATACCGGGGTCGCAGGGCCCCCTGAGACCCGGTATGTACCCACTGAATCTGGGGCCCGGACGACCTGAGCAGTCTTTGCTTCATACAGATAGATTGAGACAGCTAGCTTTGCCTTTTCTATTACGCTTGGTGCCCTCGAAGGCACAGAATAGGGCTCTATCACAGGATCTATCACTACAGTTCAGTTAGTATTTTCAATTTCTCCAGGTCACTACTCTCTGATAAATGCCCCTGTAGGCACAGATCAGCATTCCTGTTATCCCTTCACAGTATATCACAATCTTCAGGCATCCTGGCTAATATTTTGTTTTACTTTATTTTTGTATATATTAAGCAGTTTGACTTTTTCCGCCTAAACTTTGACGGTATTTACCTAAAATTTCCAATACCGGTAGTAACCACTTCGATATACATTTTTTGTTATACCCTATTGGTTCTGTATTAGGAGTCCCTGCTGGGATCCTATCAATCTCACTACCTTACAACCGCTGTGTGCTATTTGTATCTCTATATTTGTTACAATTTAGACAGTACCCGGTGTCACTGTTACAAAGTTACACTTCCAGGTGAGTTCATGATATAGCCTCCTTTATTTTTAGGGGCTTATTCTGCAACATTTGATCTCTATACAGACCATGGAGATATTTTGGGGTTTCCCTGTATATATATGTATGTATTTTTTTATATATATACTTTTATAGATTTGGGTTAATATATATCCTTTATTTGTGATTTTCAATAGTTCGGCATCTCTTTCCTTTTTTGACGATACCATTACATTTGGTGTTGTCTCCATCTAGTGGCAACAACCGGTAATTCTCTGTATATATTTATACATATATATTCTTTCTTTTGTATTAGTTTGTCTTGTATATATTACAAGTTAAGTTTTATTCAGTCTTTACCCCATGGGCTTAGAGCTGTTCTTCTCCGTCTCCTGTTACATATATATATATATATATATATATATATATATAGACACCCTGAGATTTTAATGGGATTTATGAAATGAAAGCGAGACAATACTGTGTCTCATTCTGTAATGATGCAACGATAGGTATTTAAACGTGAATCAATTTTGAATAAAAATTAGGATGGACAATAGCATCATGGACGAAACCATATACTGGGGGTACAAACATGGGTTAGGCTCATTATAAGGGGTGAGACTTAGAGGGGACATATATCCCAGCAATGGGATGGCGATAACAAGACAGCACATTTGGGAGGAACTCAGTCTTGGATACAAAATTTATAATATGGCAAGATAAAAGAATATGATACCATAATTTAATTCAGTGTGATGATCTGATTATTTTTTATTTATTTTATTTTTCTATTTTTGAGATTTATTTGTATTTTATTTTTTCATTGTTTGTATCAATTGTCAGAGTGTATTCATATCCTAATTTTTAGGATGAATGCTTTGTTTAATTCTAACCTAACGTACTGTATTTTTCATGCATTATTGATGTCTTGAATGAATGCGCCCACGCGATTATGGACTATATATCAACTCCATTGAAACTCATCAGCCTATGAAGAAGTAACGTTGTCGGTCATGAAACTCTTAAGGCAGTCAATCCCATAGTCTCGTGGAGAAGACTCGCATTGGAACGCAGGAGTGGTTTTCCCGGTCCTACGGTGAAACGCACGCGGTGGTCTCCAGTCTGCATACATGTACCAACGTGCTGATTCCCCACTTTCCAGCCAGCGAAAGTCACTTAATTGAAAAGGACTTCACATTTGCAGCTTCTGGAATTAGGATCACTGCATTTACACAGATATGCCTGTCATTACTGAGATCGTGTTAGTGTTTTTAACCTTTGTGTCTATACTAATTAAGTGCCAACAGAGAACACTATGTTTTCCATCTTCTATACTTTGTATATTTCAAGAATTTTTTTTACCATTGATCACTATATGGTCAGGTATTGTATATTACTACAAGCAGTGGTGTATCCTGGTTTTGTGCTGCCCTAGGTATGACAAAACTCAGGCGCCTCCCCACCAGGTCACCCCACTCTTCCCCCCGCCCCACCTTCTAAATACGCACACACATTCACTGACAGACACGCATACACTAGCTAACAGACATACACACTCACTAACACACATACAGTCACTAGCAGACACGCATACACTCACTAACAGACACACACATAGTAACACACTCCCTGACATACACACTAACAGACACACACAGACTAACACACACACACACTAGCAGACACACATTCACTAACACACACACACTCTCACTCACATTAACACACTCACTGTAGATATGAATATCCATTTAAGTACGGTGTAAGTAACAGAGACCTACACCTATAAGTGGAACGCTCAAACACATATACAGCTTACCAAACGTTATTTCGTATCATGGTACAGTAGAAAATACATGTAAAGAAATACAGAAAAATACAATATAGTGCAGATGGTATATAAAGTGGCAATGCAATAATAATGATGGAATCTTAATGGCTGGTGCACTCACATTTCAAGGAGCCTGTATATGGAAACACTCGCTCTGTATCAAGACTTGTGTGCTTATAATGGTAGCACCACCCTTCTACTTCAATTTGGAGTGATTCTCAAAGACAAAAAACAGAGGGAGAGCGAACCAATGTGTAGATTGCGGTCATAAAAGCACACATATATATATTAATAAATGTGGTGCTCACCTGGTCCTGAGCCTGTGGGTTATTCTACCCTTTTTGGGCAGCACTTTTCTTTACAATTCCCTCTGCAGCTGTTTATTGCTTTTTTTGGTTATTGCTGTCTCCATATTAATTTCCTGGTACGTTTACGATCTAGTAACCTTACTATTTACAGTTTATCCCCATTGCCTGGGCAGTGGTCAGCCAGAGAAACCTAAATTCTGCTAGGCACAACCTGTGGTTAGACTCTGTTGTGACATCTGCCTTCGATGCTTCTGCACCTGCACCAGAGTCAACAGTGTTGGGTGAGTGTTTCCTTGGGGAGGACCATGGGGCTGGTGGTGACTGACGAGGATGTTGGCAATGTGGTGGAAGGACACGACCATGAGCTAACCACTGAGGACCTGATGGAACTGCAGAAGGAGGCGATGGAGGAGCAGATCTCATTTGAGAAGGAAATGAGTGAGAAATGCCTCTCTTCCAGGGAACTCAAGGAGGCTTGCCAAATGTGGGTAAACCTACAGACTTTTGTACAGCAGCACCACTCATATAAGGCTCTAGTCCAGAGACCTGTGAACAGTTTTGGCACCAACATGTCCCCTTTCCGAGGGATGCTTTGAAGTTGCCAGAGGCAGCAGACAATGGAAAGGTTCCTACTAAAACAGCGTAGACATGAAGAAGAACCTGCTTGTGTTAGTGCTGCCCAGTTGCTTGTTTGAAAAATTTCTCATGTTTTAAAAGTTGATGTGTGAGGTTTTAACAGTTGAAAGTTTAAAATGTTATTGCTTGTTTAATCATGTCCCTGTACAGTAAATATGTCTTTGAAGTACACTTTATAAAGATTTTTGAACAGATAAGAGATTTTTTTACAAACTTTTTTTCTGACCTCTGGAACGGTTTTTCCTATGGGAAACTGCGGTTCGGTATACAAATTTTTACGCATTGCAAAACGTCCCGGAGAATGCATCAAATTTGTAAACCGAAGTACCACTGTATATTTAACCCTGTAACTTTCCAAGACACCATAAAACCTGTACATGGGGGGTACTATTTTACTCTTCAGCAAACTTTGCTGAACACAAATATTAGTGTTTCAAAACAGTAAAATGTATTACAACGATGATATTGTCAGTAAAAAAGTGTTTGTTTTTTTTACACACAAACGGCACTTACACTGACAATATATTTGTTGTGGTACATTTTACTGTTTTGAAACACTAATATTTGTGTTCAGCGAAGTCTCCCGAGTATAACAGCACCCTCCAAGTGTTATGGAGTTTTCAAAAGTTACAGAGTGAAATACAAGGCTTGCGTTTCAGTTTTCACATTGAAATTCGCCAGACTGGTTACATTGCCTTTGAGACCGTATGGTAGCCCAGGAATAAGAATTACCCCAATGATGGCATATCATTTGCAAAAGTAGACAACTGAAGGTATTGTAAACAGGTTAAATACAGTCTTTTTCAGTAGCCACTTAGTCACAAACACTGGCCAAAATTGGCAAAGTTAGTTTTTTGCATTTTTCACACACAAATATGAACGCTAACTTTTGCCAGTGTTTGTGATTAAGTGGCTACTAAAAAAGACTAGACATACCCCATTTGCAATACCTTGGGTTGTCTACTATTGAAAATAGTATGCCAATAGTATTCTCATTCCTGGGCTACCATACAGTCTCAAAGGCAATGTAACCAATCGGTCAAATTTCAATGTAAAAAAACTGAAAAATGGAACATGCTATATTTGACCCTGTAACTTCCCAAATCACTATAAAACCTGTATATGGGGGCTATGGTTTTACATGTGAGACATCGCTGAATACAAATATGTGTATATTATTGCAGTAAAAGCAAACAGTATGACATTCACAGTTAAAAAGCCACGTAGAATTAAAAAAAATAATTTAATTTCTCCCATTTTTATTCATATTAAATTATGTTTCATATCTAAACATTTGATGTGAAATAAAAGCCCTATTTCTCCTGAATAAAATGATAAATATAAGTGTAGGTGCATTTAATATGAAAGGGGTCAATTACGGTTGAACAGACATATAGCGCAAATTCCAGGTTTTGTTTACGTTTTGCATTGATCAGAATGTGCACATGTGTGCGTTAAGGGGTTAAGCCTTGTACTTGCCCAAAAACATGACAAGGGTATGTGAAGGGTCATTCTGTACTCAGGAGATAAAGCTGAACAAAATTTTTGTTATTTCTTTATTACGTCAAATTTACAAAATAAAACAATTGCAATGCACATATACTAAAAATGCAAAAATACACTATCAAACAATAAAAGTAGGTGAAAAAAATTACTGTACCATAAGGATCAAAATATATCATATGCCATTTCCTCTGGTATCTTCTTTTGCAAATGATATGCATGTAAAATGATGAAGCTATAGTTTTAAATACCTTTTACTAATAACCACAGTCTTACTCCAACCAGTTGTCTTTTTCTTAGCTTCACCCACTGACATTAGTAATTCTTGAATTGCCTTTCACTAATGTCCTGTAAACACTGCATTCAAAACTTAGGCGAGGGAGGACTGTGTAGACTTCAAAAACAGGGCACCTTTTACAAACAGCAGTAATATCTCCAATCGCAGATATTTATTGGCATCTCCAGTGATATATGAGAATTGCAAGTGTGACAATTGGGAGTAAGCATAAAACTGCGCGTATGCTGAAAATTGTAAGATGATTCTTTGCTGTTGAGTTACTCTCTAATAAAAAAAAAAAAAATCAAATTTATGTAAAGACATATATATTAGTACACAATTTTATAAGTGGGTGGAATACCAAAGTCAATATTTTATATATGTATATGAAGAGCAATAAACAAAGAGCTACACAATGCAGATATTACTTGGATTTCAATGTGATGTATTTTAGAAACTGTAGCAATAGCGGCAAGTGACTGTCCCCTTTCCTATTGTAAAGGTACAGCCTTCTAAAAATGCTGGCTACTAGTGGTCATTTGTATGTACACAAAAATATTGAAAGCAAAGGAGCTCTTATGTTATATTGTTCCCATGTCATCGAAGGAAACCCAAAAAATTTTTAGCAGAGAGGAAATTTTTGTAAAATATTTTTTTAAAAGTGTTTTTTGAAGCTTGGAATAATTATTAATTATTTTTAAAATACTACTATTTCATGGCAAAAGCAGCACTGTGACGGTGTACTTGCCTTTCCCTAATTGCTTCTCTCTCTCAGGATCTGTTCATATTTTCTTACGATCTGATCTAGTTTTCTTTAAAACATAAAGACAAAGTCAGTCTTATGTTTTTGTTTTTTCCTACGCTTGATCAGCTTTGACCCACTTCCCGTGATCAAAGGAATTTCCCTACAATACTCACACTTTCCACTGTGATCTCACAATGCCTCCTTTCACTATTCCAGTGAAACAGACAGGATGCCGGCAAAAACTACTGAATTTCGTCATAACCGTGAGAAAAGTTTTTTCGTTCATGTTAGGATGACGTTTGGTACTTTCTGTTTGCATCAGAATTTCATTATAACGAATAAAATTGCGATCCGATTCGTGCCGCATCTGTATCTTGCAGCCGCTTAGTCCTAGTAGGTATCGCACTTATACCGTGGGAATTAGGGAGCTATTTACCAAAAGTCAACCATTATTCAGTACTTCGTAATAGTACATAGACTGCCCCCACTCGCTATAACGCGAGTAGGGGCATGTCTACTAAACAGTGAGCAGGCTATGGCTGCTTATTGTTGTAAAAAAAAGAACCCCACCCCAACGATAAAGTGCTCTATGGTGGGGCATCTATTAACTAGAGTGGGGGCTATTTAACTAAACAGGGGACATAAGGTCCCCCTTGAGCCCCATCCATGAGGTTCTAAATGACTGTAAGGGGGGGGCTATTGTCCCTGACACCCACCAATGAAAGGCAGGTGAGGGCCCTAATTGACAATACAGGGGTGGACCAACTGGGGAGCCCAATGTAAAACTACAGTGCGTGACTAGGGGTCCCCAAGCCCCTAGTCTCCTCCTGCCCCCCACCCCAAAAAAAAAACTATGTACCTCACCCTAAAAATAGTGAGGAGGGGGAAACAATGAAACTAATTGTAAATAAAAAAAATATTTACCATTTGATGTCATTTCTTTTTCTAAAACCTTTTTTCAGCCCCAAAAAAGGCCAAATTAAATTCCATAAAGCCAGTCGAATTTATAAAATAAAAAAAGCATAAGAAGTAGTAGAGGTAGTAAAGCCAGAGAGCACTGAGTCAAATTGCCATAAGTGGGAAGGCTTTATAAGTCTCTGCGGTGCCCTCACTGAGTGAAGATTAAATATTTTTTTAGCATCGGGATTCCCCCTCCCCCCCCCCTTTTTTGGGGACTGAAAAAAAAGAATCAGATGGTAAGTATTAAATAAATGTATTATTTTTATTGTCCCCACTCACTTTTTGGGTGAGGGGGTAGATAGGGATTTATTTTATATTTTTGGGGAGCGGTGTGTGACTAGAGGTTTGGGAATATTTTTATATTTGGTTCCCATCTGCTCGTGGGTGGGGGACAATAGGTCCTCCCTTCCATTGTCATTTAGGGCCTTCACCCGTTGCTCATGGGTGGGGGCCAGAAGGGGACACAACAGGCCCTCCCCTTTGTCATTTAGGGCCTCCACCTGCCACTCATGGGTGGGAGCCTGGGGGGACAATAGGTTTTAACCCCTTCAGTGCAGCATGAGGGTGGGGTGCAAGGAAGGGGAGCACTGTAGGAACCTATAGTGCCAGGAAAGCAGCTTTGTTTTCCTGGCACTATAGGATCCTTTTAAGGGACATGAGATAAACCTTTTTCCATTAAATCCTATAACAAAAACTAACTCAGTTGAACATTTACTAGTTCTTAGTTTATGTAATTTATGAATTTTATTTTTATTTTATTTATTGTCCAACATACCAAGTAAGAGTGTGGTTCTCTGCACCAAAACACTGATTTTATATATTTTTTTCTGGGTAGTTTCAAAGTCATGCATTGTAACGTAGTATGTTCCACTGTCATTCAGTTGGATATTTTTCAGAAAGAGGGAACCATTTCTGCAGGAGAATTCCACTTTGCCTTTAAACCGGGGGTATATTGTGGCTTTACCATCTGTCCATATGGGAAAACCTTGAGGATTGAGGCTTGCATTAAGCAATGCATAAAAAACGATGTTATATTCACCAGCACTCCACTGTATTGCTGGCCAGTATTTGACAGGAAGAGAGATGGTATAAGAGGTTGGAAGGAGAACGTTCTGACCAACTGTGGAATTGATCGAATCCTGATGAACAACCAGCTCATGTCCTACAGAGGGATTGACGAAACAAATAATATTTAGTATAATATTTAGTATCTGTGTGTACGTGTTTATTTAGTACACATAAACGCATTACTTTTATTGCTTGATATTCTGATTCCTATGAAATTCTCACTTGCTCTTTACACAACCATACTACAAATATTTTTAATAATCTATCTCCACAATTTTTCTTCTTTCACCCCTTAAGGACACATGACATGTCATGATTCCCCTTTATTCCAGAAGTTTGGTCCTTAAGGGGTTAAAGGGGAACTGTAGTTTCCCTGAAATTACAACATTGAAGAAAGCACTGAAGCTCACCAAAACCTTTTATAGGAATACTCCATTAACATTTACATTAAAGATTTGGCAAAATATATTATCCATTTCAGAGAATGAAAAGTCATGACAAACATTACAAATGATAGAAGAAATAGAAACATTAAAAACAAAAAAGTGTGTGGAGATCTAGCTTTATTATTGTGTCCAAAAAAGTGTTTTAAACAAAAGAGGATGCCTATTACTTGTCAACAATGTGTCAATCTCTTATTCCCTGTATACATTGTTTCCCATGTGTGGGCTCAAAACATAATTAAATGTTAACACAGATAGGTGTGGAAATATGACACTTATAAAGAGTTGTGTATTGATAGTGACTTGATTTTAGCTGCTATAAACACTTTGTGGGTACGCCCAATCCCCCACTACAAAAAGACACCAATAACAACAAATAACTAGAGGTCTGGTTGGTGTTTCCACCTTCCAACCCTATAATTTGAGTGCAGCGCTATATAGATCTGTACAGAATTAGTATTTGAATATATATAACGTATGACTTACCCCTCTTAATATACTTATTAGGGGGTGTACATGAAAAATAAGAACAGAAAAAATATACAGAATAATTGTGCAGTATGGTATATAAATATAAAGTGATATTATAATGTGTGAGTCAAGACTACTCACATAATTTAGAGCCTTTTTAGATATTAGGTTCTAAATTTCTAGGCTTCCGTGTCTTTTTAAGGTAGGCAGCTTGACCCCTTTAATTCTTCAAGATTCTTACTCCTCTCCACTCCACAATGAGTATATGCGAGAAAAGAGAAGAGAGACTCTAGGTGTAGTATTTTAGGAAATCCTCTTTGGGCTAATATTTTGAAAAGAAGAAAATAGGGTGCTCACCTCTTTAAAACATAATTACATTTCTTCCATTTTTAAACTGTGCCCATTTTACAAACCGATGGTTTGAGGAATAAATTAAAGGGATACTATAAGCACCAAGACAGCTATAGCTTAAAGTGTTACTCCAACCACCATGATGACTTCCTTCAGTGATTTGAAGTGGTCATGGTGGTAGGAGCCTAGATGTGCAGTGTGCAACTTTAACCCATTAGTGACCAGACCATTTTTAAATTTTCTTACCGTTAAGGACCAGGGCTCTTTTTACATTTCTGCAGTGTGTGTGTTTAGCTGTAATTTTCCTCTTACTCGTTTACTGTACCCACACATTATATACAGTTTGTCTCGCCATTAAATGGTCTTTTTAAAGATATAATTATTTTGATCAAATCATAAAATTTACTTTACATTTTTTTTATAAAATATGGTGAAAAAAGTAAAAAAAAAAAACCAAACAAACAAAAAAAAACTTTCAAACTTTAACCCGCAAAATCTGTTATGCATCTACAACTGCCCGAAACACCCATGTCAAATAGTTTCTAAATTTTGTCCTGAGTTTAGAAATACTCAATGTTAACATGTTCTTAGCTTTTTTTGGAACGTTATAGGGCTATAAGTACAAGTAGCAGTTTGCTATTTCCAAACCATTTTTGCCCGCAAAATTAAGGCAAGTTACATTGTAACACTGATATCTGTCAGGAATCCCTGAATAACCCTTCACATGTATATATTTTTTTTAAATAAGACAACCGTAGGTATTAAAATTGGATGTTTTTGACTCTTTTCATGCAACCATTTTACCACCAATCTATGCAAAATTTAAAAAAAAAATTTGGACACACAGCAATTTAAGAATACATGTGTACAGCAACATCACCTGAGTACATTGATACCACCCATGTATAGGTGTGTTGGGTTCTCTGGGGGCTAAAAAACCTTTTTGGAGGGTGCGCATTCCAGTTTTCCAACTTAGAATTTTCAAAGCGGGTCATCATGTACCCATATCCTATTTGGGACATTTTTGAAGCATGTAAATGTAAATTACCCCATCAAACTGTATATTTTTGAAAAGTAGACAACTCAAGGTATTCAATATGGGGTATGTCCAGTCTTTTTTAGTAGCCACTTAGTTACAAACACTGGCCAAAGTTAGCATTTATGTTTGTGTGTGAAAATTGCAAAAAACGAAATTGAACACTAATTTTGGCCAGTGTTTGTGACTAAGTGGCTACTAAAAAAGACTGGGCCTTCCCCATTTGCAATACCTTGGGTTTTCTTCTTTGGCAAATGGTATGCCATCATGGGGGTAATTCTTATTCCTGGGCTACCATACGCTCTCAAAGGCAACATAACCAACCTTGCAATTTTCTATATAAAAATATTTGTCCCTGTAACTTTCAAAACACTATAAAACCTGTACATTGGGGGTACTGTTATACTTTGCTGAACACAAATATTAGTGTTTCAAAGCAGTAAAACATATCACAACAATTCTATCTTCAGTTTGTGTGTGAAAAATGCAAAAGAAAAATAAAAAACACTTTCCCTGACAATATCATCGCTGTGATATGTTTTACTGTTTTGAAACACTAATATTTGTGTTCAGCGAAGTCGTCGGAGTTAAACAGTACCCCCCATGCAGGTTTTAGGGGGTCACGGAAAGTTACAGGGTTAAATACAGTGCTAGCAAATTCAATTCTCTGGACTTTCGGCCTGGGTTGTCAGGCAGGTCCCTAAAATTGCAACCAATAAAATTACTTAATTATGTAAAAATATTACATAAATACACACGTAGAATTTAAATATATATGCAGGTTTGTATATTTGAAGTCTACGTGTATAGTTATGAAATTATTTATGTAATTTTGTATATGGATATATTTCATAATATTTTGATTTATTTATATATACATAGATGTATGTATAATTTCATTATAAGTGTATTTTGATATAAATATATATTAATATCAAAATACAGTTAGAATAAAATTTCATATATATCATTTTTTAAATTAGTTTTATGTTTTTAAATTTATTTAAATTTACTTTTTATTTGTATTTTATAAGAATATGTATACATTATATATATATATATATATATATATATATATATAGTTATTATATATAATATATATATATACACACACACACACGTGTCAAATTTAATTATAAGTGTATTTTTATATTAACAAAAGAAAGAAGGAATTCCAGAAAAAACATCTCTGGAATAACTGGTAGGAAGTCCCTCTACCAACCACATAGATATATTGAAATATATTAAAGTATAACCTTTATTTGTATCAGAAATAAAATGTGGAAACAATATAAAAAGACAGGTGTGTGGATATATCCGCTGATAAATTTTGTGTGAGTGATTGAATTACCTGCTTATTTATCTAAGGTAATATTATGGACTGTGTTAGCGATTGAATAACATACTTAAATTGCTAAGTCAATATGATGGCAACTAATGGATACAAAGTGCTACAATCTGGCATTTGTGTTGGTAATATAGCAAAGTATGTGACTCTCGCTCGGAATACAAGAATGGGCTGTCTAAATAAACAATAGCCCGATACTATTTAGGAGAAACCAAGGTAAGCTGGGAGAATGTCCCTATAACAATAGGAGAGCCCTAATCATGATCTGTCAGGCTAAAACTCCACCACCTCTTTAAGGAGTCCCCATTGCGCCCATTAGCACATCCCAAACGCTCACGATGAAAATAAAAGAAAATGAAAGTGATCAAAAGAAAATAATCGGATTGCACACTTCTATAGTCTAACTACCTGTCTGCTAAAAACTACCTAAGTTACCTAACGCGCCTTTCGGCGCTGCTAAAGCGCCTTCATCTGAGGCAAGGAAACCGGACTCCCCTCACAGGAATCAATTTATGACAGCACTGAACCAGTCACTGGCAGGGGGTGTGTCACGGCTATCCGCGCCAAAACCGGTGTTCGAATTAGCCACGCCCCCTAAGTACGTATTGCCATATGATTGGTTGGAGACACAGATGTCAAAATACATTTAACCCTTCGTGTCCCATAATAAACAGTTGGATAAATCTTATTGTCATCTCCGATTTCTTTATATTAATTAGGGATGATCTGAAGAATATGCCACTTATTTTAGTAGTAGTGGGTAAAATCTAAGACTGTGATGTCTGTATATAAACCTACTTGAAGAGATAATCCATGTGTACATACATAAATTATGATCTATATAAATGTGTAATCTCTAAATAATCATTATCAATGTGTTTACTGGAAAAAAAAAAGTATGATAGATCAAGATCATAAATCTACATCTCATATGGGACGATTAGTGATAGGGTAATATAGTTGAAGTTTTTCATGGTAAATTTCATCTGTTGCTTTATTGAGCAATTACAAATTCACACAACGTTCCAGTTGACGTTTTTCATTGTGTAAAAGACATTGAGTGCTGGGACCTGGGACGTACATAGATATATATAAATATATATACATACACACACACACACACACACACACATATATATATTATACATAAATACACACACACACACACACACACACACCGACACATATATAATTATAAATGTAATTACCTTTATTTATTTTTTATTTTACAGCAGCAGGGAGACTGCCTGTCAGCACAGGCAGAAACATGGACAGCTATTGTGGCTGGGGTCCTAATTCGCCGCGGGGAGACTGCCGGGGCTGCAGGCAGTCTCCCCACACCAGGAGAAATGCTGACCGCCGCCGGGGGAACTACGGCGACCGGGTGAGTAAGGATTTCCGTTATGACAGTTCAGGACGGTCACCAGTCCTCAAGGGGATTTTTCT